GGGTTGGATATTAGGAAAAACTTCTTCCCCAAAGGGCTGTCAGGCCCTGGCCCAGGCTGCCCAGGGCAGGGGCTGAGTCCCCATCCCTGGGGGGATTTAAAAGCCGGGGAGATGTGGTGCTTGGGGACATGGTTTAGTGGTGGCCTTGGCAGTGCTGGGTTAACGGTTGGACTCGATGATCTTAAGGGTCTTTTCCAACCTTAACGATTTGGTGATTCTAAAACGTTCATTTTTTCATTGCATATCAGCAACAGCCAAGTTGCTGCTGGAAAGAAGAAATGGAAGGAAAGAAAATTCCTAATACCTACATATTGTCAAAGATTGTGAAGAGTTAGTGATGATATTAATAACAATAAAGAGTCCCTGGATATGGTTCTTGTATTCTGTTAAGACAGTAATTGCTATACTGCAATTGTCTTGCTTACCTAGAATTTCTCCACCAGTAACGCTGCTAGAGTTTTCTACTTTGCTCCTTTATATGACAGAAGCTTCCTACAAAGCAAGCATTTTGAGCACAAACCTGCATTTTGAAGGTTACCTTGTATACAAGTGGGCTTGAAGGTTCTAAAACAGCAGCTAAAGTGCATAACCTAGTGAAGCTCTAAGCTTCCAGTGCTTCCATTTTAAATTAAACAATCTAGCAATTAGAATATTCCTATTTGAACATGTTGCTCTTGCTGGGTTTTGTTTACCGGGGAGATATGCATTTAATCTATAAATCTACAATTTTCATCAATAAAAACAATAGTCGTGACAGTCCCTAATGTTCCTGCCCTACTTCAGTTTATTCTGCTACAACAGCTTTTAGGCTCCCATCTCTCTTATCACAGGTAAGCTCACAGGACAGAAAATGGGAATTTGCATTTAGTTCCAGATGGATCAAGCAGTGCTCAGCAGTACATCTACAGTGTGTTTTGAAACTCGAGTTCATGAAGTATTGCCAGAATGGTTTAGTCAGCTTCCAACAATTTTCTTATTTTGGCTCATAAGTATTCTTAATTAATGACAAAGACATTTATTACACTAATAAAATGCACTTCATGTAAGACTCCATAAATCTACTTTGGCAATTAATTCATAGTCCAAAGAATTATTAAAGTAACAAGGGGTTTTT